TTTCGCGGAGGCATCAATACGACAGTCATCGTCTCATCGGTCGCTGTTCAGAAAGAAGAGTGAAACATCGTCAGAAGTAATATAACGATTTATTATTGTAATATTTGTTTACAGACCTTAGTTCGCTTATTCCTTTTATATGTTGGTGTAACAATAAACAAATCTAAAGCGGCAGATCAGTGTTTTGGTTTTTGCGTCCGTTATAACTAAGCGTTTCTGAGAAATCTTCGAAGAACAGCGTGGGCCCGAGCGTAGCGAGAGCTGGGCATTAACGGTTTATGAGACGTGATTGACAACTACAACTTCAACTACAACCAAAACCTCGCAGATAGATGTACTCACCAGGTAGCACAAAAACCTCACCTCATCACCACACACGTAAACACACGCACACACGCAGACGGACGCCTAGAAGCTGACTAATTGACAAACTGCCTCTCACTCCACTCCACAATCTCTCACTTCCTGTCACTATGGAACACACCATGCCTGTCTCTCATTCCCACAAATTCAAAGTCAAGCACACATACACTTCTATGCACACATTGACAATATTCTCCTCTAATCCACATGAGGTGTGTGCACTCGATTCTCCTGCACTAATACTCCTCAAGTCTCACACAGTACTACACCCTGATAGTCTGATTCGCCAAACCACCCTTCATACCTATTCGACTCTTGTGAATGTAGACAGCTTGTCATGCGTGTCATGTCTCTTCAATGTCTCCTTGCCATCTGGTCATCTCTTCTCTTCTCTTCTCGTCTCGTCTCACCTCAGCTCACCTCTCCTCACACTCAGCGTCTTCTCTCAGTGTGTAGATGGTGTTGTTTGTGGAGCCAGTGGGAGTAGATTGTATGGTGTTCCTGGTGTGACATGAGTGATGTTGTATGTATGATATTATTCGGTTGAGATGTGGTAGTCGAAATTGAGAGTAGTCGATGAGTCGATGTGATAAGCAACAGGTGAGAGTCGATCTGGATTCGGTTGACTTGTTGATTGATGAAGCGAAAGAAAGAGAGAATGAATGAATGAATGACTGACTGAGTGATTGAGTGACTGACTGACTGAATGAGTGATTGAATGAATTTGGTTGATAGTTTTGGTGAATGTATTGGCTGGTTGTGTGTGTGGTGTGTGTTTGTGAGCTGCGCAATGAGTGTGGACTGGTAGTGTTGATGTGATTGATATAGTTGAGTGGAATGACTTAGGACGGCTGGGCGTGGTGGCGTACGCCTGTAATCTAGCTACTTGGAGGCCAGGGTGCGGAATTTCGCGGGACCGGGAGTTCTGGCATATGGCTGCTCATGTTGATCGGGCGTCCACGCTAAGCACGGCGCCGATATGGATGACCTGTCGGAGGACGAGGTGTCCTGTTTTTCTCGCTGTTTTAGTTTGTTTTTTTTGTGTATTTTTCTGGTGTCTTTTTTATTGTTTGTTTTTTCGGTTTCCTTCTTTTTTGTCCTTTTTGAAATCCTTGCTCGATTTTAATTTTTCGCCCCACCTTTTTATGCTGGTTTAATTCTATATTTTTTTCGAATCTTGACATCCTCTCTTTTTTCTTCTCTTTGTTTGTTTTTGTTCAGCATATCTTCACAAGTTCTTCAGATTTCTTCATTTGTTTAATAATTTCTTCAGAAACACCTAACATTTATCTATGATATAGAAATGGGTTCATTTCTCTCTTTGCCATGTTTTATACACTTGTTTATTTTAAATAACTTGTTAATACTTTTTCAACTGTTTTAACCTCCACCGAATGAATTATGGCAATTTTTATTCCCGTGACTGTGCACAATTAAGCGATATATAATTCATAGGGTCACATCTTCCCACTAAATATGTCCTTTCAAATTGTTTGGAGTGAAACCTCTTGTTAACAAATTGTGTAAATTAATGCAATCGGTCTGTTGACATCCTCTTATGATAAGTCAACTGTGATTTCACGTTTCGATAGTGCTTTGAGAACTCGCGGCTGTATTTTAAACATTCACTTCCCGTACAAATTAATTAATGCTTTACTGCTGTGTTTTTTCTTGTAGTGGGGTCAGTTCGTACATTGGTTTTCTAACCGTTTTAACGCAACAGTTCAATATAGCTGTCATATTTAAAGTGTATTATCCCAGTCAGCCGCCTTGTGCGTTAGCGGAAATTGCGGCTTTTGTATCGGAAAACCAACTAATATTGACTCTGGTTCCAACAGCTGTCACTACTGCATGCTGCTTCTCCCTGACACTAAAATACATTAGGTTTAGACAGCAATCGAATGTTAGCTAGTGGTTGGGTTGAATTTGAATGGTCAAGGCTTTTTAAAGTCTGATCTGACTAACGTCCACTTGACCACTTGATCCATGCAATCACAGCCCCTGCTTTGCTGTCCCTAACGAGGCAAGTTATTAAACTTTTTAGGCAAAACACCCAACATTTTTACTCACCAAATGTATACCACTTAAGATAGCACTCCTATGTAATTCATTCTTTCCGTGTTTTTCTACAAGCATTTGTTGAGATTAGCTACTTACTACTTTTATTGATGCGCATAAGTTTATTTAGGACCGGTTAATTGTTACGAAATAACAATAGTATATCCAAGAGTTAATTTAGCTTGGAGTTTTTTAAATAATTATTTAATCCGCTATCCCACATTTACTGATAAGCTGCGCTATTGTTTGCACACTATTTTCATAAGAAACTGTATATGTAAGCTAATGCCTTGAAGTCATTGATGCGTTCGTTTACGTACTATTTTTCCAATCTATAAGCACCGCTATTGTTTCCTGCCTAACATGAACTTAGCTTGCGGCAATCACAAAAGCTGCACATATAGACTGAGAATATTTCACTCCATTGGAATCAAGCAGCGTCATAGCTATATCTGCTGCAGCCACTGTAGGCAAGTGTAAGCGACTCCGAATATACGTGTACACGTGTACAAAGTGGATGAGAACACTGAAAAACTGGACGATTCACGATGGTTAGTAAAATTGCATCACGCATTCCTGAGACAGAACCAGGTTACTATTAATACCAAAAAACAGAAGCAACGTGGTGAGTGCTGACTTTTCAATGCATCATTTGCAGAAGAATGAAGTTTTACAAGTTTCTAGAGGATAAAACTATACTATAATTGGTTCACTAGTTAGGGTCAACGAATAAATAGTCGTTCACAACGTGGGGGAAGCTTAAATGTTATTGCTGCGAACGTTTTAGGGGAAACAAGAAGCAAATCATCTGGAGGAACGACCATCTGGCAAAGAGGAAGTCTTGGTTTTAGACCATGGGCTCACAGATCAATAGCTTACTCTACAGCTTACCACAGCGGTAGGAGACTATCACGGAGACTGATGGCGATTTATAATAAATTAAAACATATAGGAAATCCAAACATGAAGCTAGTGACACAGCTTGCACATATACCTCGATGAGATATGCTGTAAAAAACAAATCTTGTAGTATTGGTGTAAGTTTCAAAGACGACAGTAGTGTTCCTTGTTACACACACCTGAGCTTGAGTGCTTTAGAATGCAAGGGAGATACGATACTATCACAGTACGTATGTGCTATTCTCCAACCCAAATACATTTCTTTAACAAGGAGGAAAACAGGGCTGGTGAGTCTAGTCGGAATAACAATTTGATCGTTAGAATCTCAATACGTTGTCTATCCAAAATCCGTGCCTATCCAACTAAAGATATTTCGCGAACAGTCAAAAGTAAAACGCCAACATGCTATATGGTGCTTTTCCGTGAGGTAATTGCTCAGTCATCGAAAAGGCTCTACAAGCGGAAGCGAACTTCAATGTTTCTCAGAGGGAGATAGCATTTCAAACCATTTCAAAGCAACTTTCATGGCCTTACAGTTTTTGTCTTGTCTCAAAATACCTTATGAATCAAATTTTTCGCCTTCATGTGGACAAAAGTCTATAAAACAGTTACACACCATTAAGGATCGATCGCCTAGGGATCGATTTGATATATTCAAAAACCCCCAATAGTGTCACAATCAAAAGAAATTCTATTAGATACCAGTGGTCAGGGACAGATCTACGAAATACCAGGCTAGGATTCACAGTTAATGCATCAAAACTGATGATAACATACGGGGCACTTAATGTGATTCCAATAATAATAGCATAGTACATCCACGTTTTGACGTTCAAGGATGTGCCAACTCTGTGTGAGACTAAATATCCAACAACGTCGTATCAAAGGCACATGTGAAAAATTAAAAAGTTGCGTTGTTAACGAAATCAAATTTCGAAGAGCACCAGGCGAACGTCAGTGTAACCGCGTAAACATATATTTATATCAAGCGAAAACCAATTTACATCAATACATTGGCAAATATTAGAGAAACATGTGTGAAATTAGTTTCTGTTAATGAATTATATGGCTACATGAATCAGTTTTATAAGCGTACTGTTCGAGTTAATATAAAGGTGCTACGTTGAGGCCGAAAAATATGTAATCATGCGTTCATAGTAAAATAATAAAAATAATGAATTCACTGCACATCATGGTTGATAGTTGATGTCGAATAAGAAAACTGTCTGGTTCACCGCAGCACAACTTCCTCTCCCCGGCTTCTTGTCTTCCAATATTGTCAATCACTTCTGTCCCGTACCTGAACCGTATATCTACTTTTGGATACTCTGCTTCAATCTCATTTCCTCTCGCAAGTAACCCTTCAGAGGGCTGTGGTAGCTTTCTCTACCCTAAAAAAACTTAGCTCCCACTCCTTAGTGGGTGGAGAAAGACTCAAATTCTAGGCGTATTATTTGTAATACTACCTGCTACACAATTTAGATCAGATATCATATAACAGAGCAAAAGACAAGATGAGTGAAATGTTGTTTAGACATATTTGGATATCATATCACATCTCCACGTATAAAACTGACCACGTTCACATAATGTCTAACACTTGAACTGCCATGTGAAAATTCTTTAAGATACAGTGTAGATCGTTCAATTTTGAAGAACCAACATTCTTTAATCTTGGACAATTTCAAGGTTCACGGCGCTATTTTGATTCCGAAATGACCTTCGGTGTTTTTGTGAAAAGTCTAAGTCGGTTTAGTAGGCGTGTTCCATATCATGCGTTATCAAATAAACCTACAAAATGGTTTTCGCAAATGTCATCGAATGCTGTGAAAGATTCTGAAATAATTCCACCTTCTTTCTGTGGTAGTAATGAAAAAGAATATCCTAAACACATACACGATATCGTTGATCGTATCAGTGCCCTCTCACTGTTAGAGGTCGCAGAATTATCAGAGTTATTGCAAAAGAAATTAAATATTAAGGTAAGCGTGAGGCATTGATTCCAGTGTCATGTGTTCAACCGGTATAAACATTTTTTTGAAATAGACGCAGCTGCGACAGATCTAGATCTGTCACTTCGAAGTATTTAAATTGGTGTAGTTCGTTTAGTTAGATAAATAGACAAATGTATGCTAGCGTGAGCTATGTAGGAAATGAATTTGGGAAGGAAATCACTAATGCTTCTTTTTCAAAGTCAGCTTCTGGTAATTTATGTGCACGTGGGGTTTCGAACCACACATCCGTCATTTCTGACGGTTAAAACACATGAGACTCAATTACAATCAATATACGTACTCCCAACAAAAATCTCAAAATACATGGAATGTGTTCTGTTCCTTATGTACATAAATTAATGATTCGTGATTCGTATCACCTTTTAGTTTTAAAAATACAATGTGAAATGGTCAAGTGTACCGAATACTTAAATTTCTTAAACTCGGATAACAAACACCAGTATTCAGATAAACTCAGTAGTTTTAGGAAAATATCCACCCTGTATTCCATGACTGATGTCGTTGACGCCCACACAAAAACGTATCTGACGAAGTTGCCACACTCAGAAAAACTATAAAACATAAGTGAATGGAAACAGTAAAACTGTTGTGGAAAAACATGGATGTGATATGTTCGTATTATTATTTTTCTGGTTCTAAGATATGAGCATGTTGCCTTATCGTCACGAAGATCTCAGCCAAGCTATATCTACCTACCTAAGTGTCTTAGATCAACAATGAATAGTATCGTATGAATTGTTTGTATGTCTCGGTATTAACACTTCTAACTCTTCCCAGCATTATCCTCATTTGGTGACTTACTCAACACTGTGTAACTGTATTAGTCACTGTATTGTCCCACCTTACACGTGAGATGAAACTGAATCATTTGTGATTTTTAAAAAAACCGCTAGTAATTTTATATGTGGGAAGCCGGAGATCACATTAGCCTTACATACAAGAAAGTTTTATCGACTTGCATTTTGATATACTTTTGAGTCGAAGTGTAGATAGCTCAATAAAACAATTAATTTAGACAAAGACTTCTTAAGTAGGATATTATTTAAGTGAAGTATAATTATATCTCAATAGTTTACACACTGATAGGTTTTGTTATATTAAAATCATTTAAGCTTTTGTTCCGCTGAATAAAACACGAAAGGAAGTTGATTGGGTGCTTATTTAGGATAACGATAAAACATTGACTCATACACCTGTAGAAAGTGTATAGCTTTTATTTTTTGAAAAGGTATGTAAAATAATTTACTGTACAGATTACGTTTCGTTCTATCCCACACTAAATTACTTTGCAGAGGAGAAATAATTAGAACGATTTTGAGGCAATAAAGTCCTTCATTATACTGATAAAGCCAACCATGCTCGACTACAAACCTCAGTAATGCACAACTGGTTGTCATACTCCCACGTTGTATACTAATCTATATGTCTGAACACTTACATTTGGAGGAGTAAACGCACTTTGAAGGCGAGGTCTTGGAGACATACACCTATTGGGTAATGAAGGACACCACAAAACTCTATAAATGTAGGTGGTAGACTCTAATCGCCGTCCATAGCAAAATATCACAGGTATGAATCACACGATCAACTTCAGAACGGCCTTAGTGCAAAACTGTCATGGACACATTCTGGAGTATGCTGATGAGGTCGTTGTTCGTAAAATAAAGCCCGGTTTGTGCATGTGTGTATGAACAACTTATTGATACACTTAGTCTGCTTTGTAGTATTTATCTTGATCAGATAAGTATTAGGTGTGTCCGTCATGCTCCTTCAATCCTGTATCAATGGGTTGACCTAAATTGGCCCCTCCCGTTTATTCTTTATTTTATAAACTGACAACCAGTGTGTAATCAAGTTGCTCGAAATGTATTGCACAGATACACCGCACTTTTTGTTAGTCCTTGTCCAGGAAGTCAGTGCTGGTTGAAAATATGTTATCGTCTCCACAGAAGATTGTCTCATCTGCAATCAATTAGTCCCTTCTAACTATTAAACGACGGTTCCTATCTCCAAAGTCCAACATGTATATTCAAGTTTCAATTCAACACCACATCTGTTGTTAAAGGTGGCTTAATTGATGAAACCCATCCTTAGTCGTACCCGTGCTGTAGTTCGTCAGACTATATATATATATATATTACAAGATTGATTGAGAATTCTAAGTAAATGGTTAAGGGAAATCCTATGTATAACTGTTGTACCTTGTAACTTTCGTGTCCAAAAGACTTCGAAATGATTTTTGATGCCTAAAGTTCGTACATATTTAAAGTAATCATACTGAAGTTTCTTTTGTGTCAATCCAGAGTTCTGGACCTATGATGCCCATGATGGCTCAAGCACCGACAAATCAATCTCCAGAAGAACCTGAAGAGCAACAGGCACCGACCAAAATGTCATTCTCAGTAAAGATTGTGAAATTTGACGCTGCGAAGAAAATCCAACTTATCAAGGAAATAAAACAGGTCGTTCCTGAAATGAATCTTGTCCAAGCTAAAAAGTTTGTGGAAGTAAGTGTACAAAAGCAGTCATAAAGTGCCGATGTGTAATTGCTTGTACTTTAATAAGAACAATTAATCTGTCAGCACTTGTGGTGTAACACATTTAAATGATAAATCAATTTATCTAAAATCTCAAAGATAATTATGCTATGGAATTGGTAAAGGTTTTCATGATCCAGTGAGCTTGACATATGGAAAACATCTGTTTTCAGTAATTGTCAAATAACCTAAGTCTTTTCGAATTAATGCCATTTGATTGACTCCTTAGGAGGAAAAGATACTGGACAATCATTCAGATATGGTTAGTGAAAATCTGGTTCATACTTAATATCCTATGATCCATTCTGACTACAATAGTATCAGCAACACGTCCAACACCATATTGCTTAGTATCCGTTTACGTGAATTCACTATAAACTAAGGTTTCGCAGCGTAAAGTTGCCCTAGTTTCCAATACAGAAACTAAATTTTTATTTATCTTACTATGTTTATTCCTATCTTTCACATACTAATTATATGATAACTTGAATTTTTTCAGAGTACACCTGCAAACGTGAAGACTGATGTGCCTAAAGAAGAGGCTGAACAAATAAAAAAGATATTAGAAGAGGCTGGAGCGTCTGTTGTAATTGAATAAATAATACTGTACATTATAATTTACAATGTAGTGAAATATATTTTTTTGTAAATGATCAAATTCAAAGCTTGTTAATGGTATCAGTTATTTGAGACACCCTTCAGAGCCAAGTAGCCATTTACAATGTGCTGGGGTAGACATCTCAGTCTTCGAAATTCGGAACAAGTGGCATAATTAAGATTCGTTTGCGGATCTGTATAATTAGTTGGTACTCCACTTAGATCAGACACTTTCATTGGCGGACGAATACTTGGCGGTGCACTTATGTGATTGTAAAGAACAGCATCCGGAGGGTATTTGATCTGAAATGAAGAAAAAGTCAGAGATTAATTACATGCTCGCCTCACCCACCTAGAAACAGCTACTGAATAGTATTCATGTGAATTTACATTGTTAGCACTCGAGAAATGGTTAATGAGACGGTGCTAAAAATGTGAATCAGCCATCTCTAATAAACCATCATAATTATGATCAGTGCATCCAGTAAGCTATGAAAATTGTGGTCTGAGGTTTTATTTTACTAATGATCATAAACTTTACGTTTATTGGCAGTCCTTCACATCAAATAGAATCAAAATTGTCTGAACAAAAATGATGAACTAAAGCAGAATTTTGAGCTGGTTGCAACACCACCCCCCCCAAACTCACGAAGCGACAAATCAACACAAATGTGATAAGCAATTTCATCAAGTAAACACAGCTTTTATAATTTCATACGCTTATCGAATCCAACAATCTACATGTGGTTCTCTTATCTTTACCAATTGACCAACCTGACAGCATTAAAATAACGCCAGACTGAAGAACAATGATTAAGTTAGCTATATATAGGCTGGGTCTTTGTAAATCCTGGTTTAAGAATACGTTGGTAAATATGCTAGCATTAAACAGCGAAACGTCAGTAAAAACAATATCGCCTTGTTTTTCATTCATTGGGAAATACAAAAACTTCTATAACAATGCCAATTTTTTTTCAAACTGTTGAAAGTAAACTCGGTTTGGACATATATTAAATTTGAGGTGAAAATACATGTCCTCATACACAAATAACCTATGAAAAGAGCTTATTTACGCGTCACTATGCGACAAAATAACTAGCATATAGTTTGGATAGCTCATGAAAGAACTCGATAGAGTTTATAATCAACAATGACCAAACTACGCTAGTTTTGATAGTAGGTAGGCAAACAAATTTTAAAAAATAAACCAAATTACATACATTTAGAAAACAGAAAGATTGAGCGAAGAAATATTTACTTTTCGATTAGATCCTCATCTTTGGCTCTACTCTAATATATATAGCATTTTAATTACAATACAACAGTTTGCCAATCAAGTGGCGATAAGTTTGTTAACAATAATTAAACAGTGTTAATGGGTTAATAGTTAACGAAGATAGAATAGAATAAATTAATTTTACAAGAATAACACGTAAATTAAAGATAAAGTGGTCAAAATAAATAATTTAGACAAATATAATTTTATAGGTTTAGGGGGATGACGCAGTCCTGTTTATCCATTCTTGTGACGATGGCCACGGTAGGGAAAGTGGCTGTACAAGTTTCTTCTGTACACATAGGCCTGGCTTCTTCAGATGAATGCCAATCGCCTCAGCCGTCTGTAGAAGACGAACTCGCAAAGCAAAATTAAGATAAGTTGGAATGCGATAAATAATTTTAAATGCTGTATTAACATCAATCTTATGCTCAGTATCAACGAGGTGGGCTAAAATAGAGCTACGAATAGATCTTTTTTGTCCCTTACTTAACCACGTCGGATGATGTTCGGAAATACGACGATGAACTTGCCTAATTGTACGCCCAATGTAGCTGGCTCCGCAGCTGCAGTCAAACTGGTAGATACACATATAGGAGGCGAATTTAGGTAGTTTATCCTTATTTCTCGAACATAAAATAGGTATGGTTGTAAAGAGACAACGTACCTCTGCTGCATAATAAGTTCTTTTAACTGCATTCTTCAGGCGCTGTGTTATTAATTCGCTGATGTTGTCACCGAGGAACTGCAATTTTATGAACATTGGTTTTTTCGGGACTGTGGCCATACTGACTCTCCTTGGAGCTGAATTTATATTTTTCTCAATGAATTTATCTGGATAGCCATTTTTTCTAAGTAATTCTCTAATAATCTTAAGCTCCTCATTGAGGTAGTCGTCTGAACAGATTAACCTAGCTCTATGAGCCAGACACTTCACGAGGTTACGTTTATATTTCAAAGGTACAAAACTCAAAAAATGAGTGTACTGACCTGTTGTTGTAGATTTCCTATACACACTTCTTCTTAGTGTGCCATCTTCTCTCCTTACCATGAAGACGTCTAGGAATGAGATACTGTCATTACTTTCTTTCTCTATGGTAAAGTTTATCGCTGAATGTGCATCATTAAACTTGTCAAGGATGTTCATTGCATCATTCTCATCTTTCATAACCACAAATGTATCATCCATATATTGACAATAGAAATCCATGTCATTAATTACTCCTTTCAGTGGTCCATTCTCTAATTTAGCGAGGAAAAAGTCAGCTAGGATTGGACCTAATGGGGAACCCATAGCCACACCATCAATTTGTCTGTAATATTCCTTATTGAATAAGAAATGAACATTCATTGTACATCTTAAAATAAGTTCCTTCAAGGTGGTTACAGAAATCCCGATATCTATGTTTCGTGTAGTAATCTCTTCACATATAAAATCCACTGTCTCCATTAACGGTACATTGGTGAACAAGGAGGATACATCAAAAGATATCATAAACTTGTCCCTCACATTAAGATCTCTTATTTTTTTCAACATATTCAAAACTGCCGTTTACGCTATGTTTTACCACTTCATTATGCAGAGGCTTTAGAAGCTTCACTAGCCATTTCGCTGTTGCGTGATATGGGGAATTACACATGTCCAACACTGGTCGAAGTGGCAAACCGATTTTATGCACTTTTGGTAGTCCATATAATCTTGGCGTAACCGTACCAGTAGGCTTTAACGATTCATATAAACCGTCTATTATGCTACTTTGTTATTTAAGTCTTTTTAGTGACCACTTTATCTTTAATTTACGTGTTATTCTTGTAAAATTAATTTATTCTATCCATTTCCACCTTTTAAATCTGTATTGATTTTCTTCGTTAACTATTAACCCATTAACACTGTTTAATTATTGTTAACAAACTTATCGCCACTTGATTGGCAAACTGTTGTATTGTAATTAAAATGCTATATATATTAGAGTAGAGCCAAAGATGAGGATCTAATCGAAAAGTAAATATTTCTTCGCTCAATCTTTCTGTTTTCTAAATGTCTAAATGGGGATTTTTTCTTTATTCAAATTACATACATCATTTGTACACAATGTAGAAATAATAGAGTCCTACATCTAAGCTGTTTGAAATGCTATTTACAAACATAAAATTTAAGATAAAAACAGAAAGTCTTACCTGTGACTCTGCATTTAAAACTTGTTTGATATTTTTGAAGTTGGTTTTCTTCCGTCCTGATGTCTTTGAACTACTAGCTTGCGGAACTGTCATTACACACCTCAGGCTGCAAAACCAATCCACGGATTACGAAAAAATACCTGAAGTAAATAATGGTAATGGTTAGTAGATATGTGCTCGACCTCTGCTTATTATTGAAAAAATGTTGAAAAAAGTCTATAACTAATGATTATTTTGTTATCTAATTATTGAGATTGTAAAGATGTTGGAAAATTCCATTTTAATAATATGCTGGTGGAAACTTGCTTTACGCTAAACAATAACATATTTCGCAGAGTTGCCATTACTTCCCAGCAAACGTCACAGTAAGACTGGACTGTCACAATATACATGATTACATTGACTGATGCGGTTTTCAGACTTTTGTAAGGCGTAAAGTATAGTCCCCTATCTTAGTTTTACTACAAGACTTTGGATACTTAGTGTCAAATATACATCTAGAGACTGGGTTAAGGATAACTAAATGACATTAGGAAAAATGACGACTGGGGATTCAAAATAATGGAAGATTTGTACTTCAGCACGTAAATGGAAGTTGTTTATTCCCCAAGACTTGATATTTAATCATGGAATTTGCTTATTAAATTCAAGTAGATGCACTGTTCTTTCTTGTGCCGGTACAGACTTCTTGAGTTAAGGGGATAAATTATTTCCTCTGAACACTGAGTGGGGGTAGTCTTTCAGATTTTCGCTATGCTTATTTGTTGTACTCAAATTTAGCGCTGGAAACTAATGTCGGTGTGAGAGACATTTATCAGTTGTCAGATGATTGCTTGGGATGCTGCATACTTTACTTTACAGTTTCATTGTTAGTTCTGGTAGTGAGCCCATCAAGGAAGGTGATTTCATGGTTTTCTTTTTCGGTTGCAAGTTGAATTCTTTTGTAGTTCTAGCTGGTGGATTTGAACGTTTCCTGTTTGATTGGCATCCGCAATTCCAAAAGTACTGCTAACGCACATAATTCACATTTTGTTTGGCCAGCAGAATGTAATTGGTTCTATGCCCTGCATCACCCCTTCAACAATAAATTCTGATATTGGTGATCTTGTAGGTATATCATGCTTCTGGCGGAAAGATACAAACCAAATAGTTCCAAAGTGTATGTATAAAACGGTGATTTCTGTAAACTTGGAGGGATTCAGGTCATTTCTGAGAATATCATCGATTGTCTATCTAGCTAGATTTGGATTGAAGTGATAGACGAATTCCCACCAAAGAAAGAAATCTTTCATTACCTTTTATCGTCAGATTTACAAAAGATTTTGCGTAGTAGACATTTTAGTTTAACAGGCAGATGCCAGTGTATTATAGGATACTGTTAAGTTACTTTACACTCCTATCTTCCATTTTCACATTTGCAAACAACGCCAAGTTTAGAAGATATAAACGTGGTGGTTAGAATATCCCACTCCTGCAGTGTAACTTTAATACACTGGTATACCACCGATAAATCCGTAGATTGTCTTTAATCACATTAACACTTGGTCATAACAATGACCTTAGTTGCTGTATCCAGAAATATAGAACCGGAAGTGACTGTTTATATATATACAAGTATATTTCCAAGTCCAGTTACTTTTTTCATGCACATGCTTTCTTATAGAGCAATGAGAGGATATACTCCCATTCAGAGAAAAAAAAGAAAGGTGTCAACTCCAAGGATGAAACTATATATATATATATTGATGAAACGTCACAAATTGCAAATATCCCAATGGTTCACACAGTTAATTAAATAGGTGAATAGGCAAATTAAAGGTAAATAAATTTTGAATCCCCAAAAAATTTCCAAAGCATTACTAATTAAGTGTACAACGGATGCAAGTTTCAAACTAACGATGAAATCTACAATCAGGAGGATGTGGTATTAGCGGAAATGAAAATTTAGCATAGCACTATGTACAGACGCACAACAGTTAGGGTGAGCATACTTCATAAAGGTACACATAAACAGTAGCAATAGGTATCCCACTAGTCCAATACTGAAGTATTACTTCTGCATAAAACATGGCTGACTGAACAAGTTTAATGGAAAATTCGCAATGTGTTTCCTGTATACGGATGACAAATGTGTTCTAAGGGGGGGGGGCGATTCAAACAATTTGGAAATAAGTCTTCAAGTAAGTGAAGTATGTACCACTCTGTACAAAAAGTCTGGCGAAGACCCTACATCATCTAATTAAAGTTATGTGTTCTAAAGATGCATATAACACCTTGATCAAAAGTGGCTAACCTAAGAATCATAAGGCCATGAATGTGGGAAAGCAGTGCTTCATTTGCTACAAATAAGCAGCTTTACCAGTTGTAAAAACTTGTAAATGATATATGTGGCGAAGGACCAAGTCATAAGTTAAGAAAATCGATTAAGACAACTTTTAATTGTTAATCATGTTTTCCACACGTCCATTTCCCAGTTGGACAAAAATACAGGTGAGTAATGGGGATTATCTTTGGTAAAATATGTGAATTTTCGTCATAGGACAATACTTTAGCCATATGAACCATTATGTGACCAAAATTTCAATACTATCCATGGGAAAATAATGCATTATTTTACCAATGTTTAATATTCCTACTATTCCCCGGTCATAGTGCGTTTAGATTAAAATTTAACCGGGATTCGCCCAGTAGGTGACTCTAGGAACTTTCGATGGAATTTGTATGAGTCCCAGAGAAAGGGCTGACGAAATTGTACATATAACTGACCACATGTGTGGTCACAATATTGTGGATATTGTCCAGCGATCAGAGCTGTCCATACATTCACTCCCTTCTAATCAGTCTGTTGTCTAAGTAGTACTTAAATACTAGATTTTGATGAAATTTGTGTATAGCATCCATATATACATATTCAAAGGACTCGTCTCACTGGCCGTTCAAAGTCATAATTCCGTTCGTAAGGTAGTTTCGTTCCGGCTGCTATAGTTTGAGGTCAGCAATTTTCGCTTAATCGTCTTCTACTACCTACCGAGCACCTAGTGAGTTGCCGAAGGTGCCTTATCTTAGTAAATATTTAAACTAGCGCGTTCTTACAGCGGGCTCATCAGATTGGTTATTCAAGGTCACTGCGGCTAGTTGCTCGCTTGAAACAAACGTACTGAATACTGAAAAAGCAGAGGATAGGCTTATTTGAATGAAACAGAGAGAAATATGCGTTCAAAAGAGGGAGATTCATACCAATAGACCGAATGTAGCAACTGAGTTCTATAATTTTGTTCAGATAACCATGTTTTCCTTACTACTCACCACTAATTTCACATATAAGGAGGGATACTGTCTTAGGTAATCGCAGTCAGTACCAAGCCAACGATGAACGCAAACAGATCACCGAGACACAAGTTATCGACAGTGAGGCTCAGCGATAGGCCACCGTTTACTATGGAACATCAACGTGGACTCAAACTGAAAATCGAGGTGTTCAGTTGTATGCTACGAGTGGCCTTAATTAATGTGCTTGCTAATTGTAGCATCGTAGTTCATCCCTATGGAGGTTAAGCAAAATTTAAATTTCGCGTTAAAGTTTTTCCTGACGTACATAATAATAATATTTTATTCACTTACACTTAGCATTTACATGGCTGACAAACCGTTTGTACGGGTATGATAACATTTGACAATGGAATTTTAGACTCAACACATTTTTATGACATAAATTTTAAAAAATGGGAAAAAATTGTAGAAACTTTACAAGAAGTTAGTAATGTTTAATTATAATGGAATAAGTTATAAGTGGCATTATATTCTTGAAGTAAGTTACATTTCTTGCACTTTATCCGAAAATGTTGCTGGTACTGATATTTGCAAAACGTAATGAGTTAAATGATGCAGTTAGTTCAAAGGTTAAATATTTATGTTCATATTTGCGTGAAATCATGCTGGTATACTTAGGCTAATTTACTGAAACGATTTAATGCCCACCGAATAAAGCAGGTGGAGCCGCTTCAAAAATGAAATATGCTAAGTAGAGCAGCCTGTACTCGTAATTAGGTAATCTAATCAGCTGATCCCATATTTTAAACGTATTCAGGAGGCCTAAAAATGTGTCAGAAGATATGAGTCACATGTAAACAGAGAACGCATACAGGCCAAATATCTCTTACATATACTGATGTACCACGAGGGAGAGCTTTTGTTTACACGTTTGAACGCATGACTCAGTGCAACTACCGCATTTACATCAGTCAGAATACTAATGCCTACAGTTCTCAAACACAGAACACCCTAGGTCGCTATCTACTCGTGTAATCACTTCGCAAATAATGAATCGACAAGAAAGGTTAGTAGCCACAGGAAAACTTGTCAATATAAATTCCATATTTGTAAGCAGAAAATAAGAGGCACCAGAAGATTATAAATATGCAAAAAAGTAGGCATACAGGTTAATCCGTCCGTAGATGATTAGGTAGATGGTTTACCATCCGGCCCCCTACGTGTTTCACACAGTTCAGAGTATAGGTTAAGAGTTTAGTTCTGCATGTCCTCGGATGCGTCTGCTTAGTTTTCAGCACTTTGATGTAATCTCCCTCGCGTCAGCATTCGCAAGCTCATGTCTTTACATGCTTTCGGCTGAGATTCAATGACGGTGTGGTTAGAATCTCTAAACCACCTTGTGCTATGTGCAAATATATCTTTGACAAATTTATTTAGCAGTTAGATAAACTTTCCTATTCTGAAATATGTGTGAAAGACAATGTGAACTAAGCGGCATCCTGGCGGTATCATGTTTGCGCAGCATTCACCTGTTAGGTGCCTTATAGGTTGTAAAACAACTTCAAAATCAACCAATCACTCCAGATCAGTCATACTGCAGGTGACAGCACAACTTCTGTCAATGTAGTTGAACACTGAACGATCAATTCATGGTTGTTTGCTCAAACTCAACTTCCCTATATTTTCCGCGGGAGTCGTCAATCCGGCAGTTATCGTCTCATCGTTCGACGTTCATTGGAATATAGAAAATTATCAGAAGTATTATCCTAATTTCCTGTTATAACACTTGTTCTTAGATCTTGTGTATAATAATCTTATTGTTGGTTACATATTGGCGTAAGAATAAAGGATTCTCGAGTCGATAATCTGTGTTCTGGTTTTTGGCGTTGGTTATTACAAAGTATTTCTGAGAGTCTTCCAGGGACGGCGTGAGGTCCAGCGTAGTAAGAGCTGGACATTGACAGTTTCTGGTAGTTTCTGTTCGTCTTTCCATCTTCTTTGGACAAGTGTTATCTGGAACTTTTCTGGAATTTTCGGTCAAATTCAGTGATGCCTGGGTCAGAGAAGGGACACAGCGTCTTGGAAGCAAGCAGGAAGGTAAATAATGCTGAGTTGCTTGTTAGTTATAATGATATATATGATGCTCAGAATGATGATTCTGTTGTTCATTGCTCGCCGTTTAGGGATAATAAGGGTTTAAAGTTACCTAAATTCGATACGTCGTGTGGTTTCTAGTCGTCTATATTCTACGATACAATGTCATGGGCGTGTTGCCGTTCAGCGTTGAGGACATAGACGGTGGAAGGAGGTCAGCAAATAAACTCTGCGACGATTTTCCAACCTAGAGCGTCAACCCGAGAAGGGTTGTAGGCGTCCTGCTGTAAGTCCCACAATTCTTCAAATAATAATTTGCTTTTATTCCAGAAACAGTACTAGTGGTACAGTGTGGAATTTTCAGCACATATCTACAATATTGCATCTAGTTTCATCGCACATTTAAAAGGAGTATTACAAAAAATAAATATAAAAACAACAACATAAAAACAAAAACCAACACAAAAACAACAATAAAAATGCCTAAAAATACCAAGTAGAAAGGAAAATAAACAACAATAATGAAAAATATTTCAGTATTTGGTAGTGGGAGCTATGGTATGTGTATGCGTGGTGAACAGTAACAGCTATAATCATACAAGAAGTTATGAGATGTTCTTGAGAATGTTTATAGTCAAGATGATCAGTTAATTTGATTGAACAACCCTAAACAATCATGAAATAAACATTTCAGGTTTTTTTATCGTCAGCACTGATGCGGTGTTTGTTGTGGTAGTGTGAGTATTCATGCACAATACAAAAAATTTTAGGGTGGTGATAACGGCGTTCACAACCAAGAATGTCAGTTTATTATTGCCGAACAAAACAAACAATCACAAAACTAATATTACATGGCGGTTAATGACAGGACAATTTAGTAATACTCATAGTGATAATATAGTCCGGACCAGTAGATACACAAAAAGAGGAATAAAATAAAGAATAAAAAAGTAATCCAATGTTAATAAATTAGGTAGCTAAGTATGTTTAAGAAGTTTGTTCACTATGGAATACAAATAAGAGAGAATAAGGGAGAAACAGAGGGCCAAAATTATATAATTAACAACAAACCAAGTCATAGGTTTCGCGCTTAACACTGTCTCTGTCACTTAGAACACGGGCTAAATATGGTATCGTTGAGTTCCTATACTTGGTTGTAAGAGCAGATATTATTTTGTACTGATTTCTGGTTCTACCTGATGAGATGCAAGGAGAGAGTTGGGAATAGAGGGGTGTTGAGGGTCAGAGAGTATGGTTTTAGAATATTTTTCGCATGTATTCAGATGCTTATCTACTAATGTAATGACGAGCTGACTGAGTTTTACACCACTAGTCCTACAAACTACCTTCAACATCCTTCTCAGGATGGTATAGTCCTTTTTCAGTAACCCAGGAAAGACTAATGGGGAGCAGTAAAGTAGAATAGGTAGGATACGAGAGTTGACAAATTGTGAAAGCAGAGGTTGAGGGACTCCAGTTAGTCTGAGTTTCTTAATGTAGTAGGTTAGACGAAACACTTTCTTAGAAATCGTTTGGATATGGGATGAATATGTAAGGTCGGAAGATCGAACTAATCCGAGGTATTTTGCATTAGACTTAGTTTCAATTTTAGTCCCCTAAGTGCTACAGGCCTCGTGTGTGCTTACCAGTGTTTGCAGACTTCATTTATGCCCGAAGGAGACGTCAACAGTCTGGCATTTTGAGGGATTCAGCATGAGGCAATTTAGTTTAGACCACTGACCGATGTCAGACAGGAAATTATTGAGGATTACATCAAGAGCTGACATTAGTTAGAGAACCATTGGAAAACCAGCACTGGAGTACTGGACAGCTGTTTCGTCCTAGTTTGGGACTCTTCAGCAGTACGCGCCCACCGGGATTCGAACCCAGGACCTTCCGGTTACAAGGCGAGCTCGTATACCATTAAGCCACTGGGACCCGGTCCAATGGTCCTTGAATTCTAACTTCTCTCAATTCACGACGTAGCGCGACCGCTAGCCAATGTGTTTCGGCGAGTATTTGCCCTCACACCCGACCAGCTGCATCCCACTGGTCACGACTTCCCACTGGAACCCAGGTAACTACCTACCTGAATAGGGCCATTCGCCAGTGAGCATCTCATTGGTATTCAAGTGTTGGTTTGTAGGGATTTGATTGGTTTCAGGATATCATCATGAGCTGACATTAGTTATTATTTGAAATTTAATTAGCCCACTGACTGATGTCCGGCAGGAAGCTTTTTCATTTGAAACAATCTCACTGAGACTTAACGGGAAGCGAAACACTCAGGTCACCTGCATGTTTGGCGAAGCTGATTTCGCCTGGAAGAATAAGTCATGTAAGGAGAAGGAAAAGAGAAACGGAGAGAGAACAGCACCCTGAGGAACACCGGCTTCAGTATGAAAAGGAGAGTAAGCTACGCCATTATATACTATGTACTGCATCCTATTGGGGAAGTAAGAGTGCAGCCGGTTGATAGCTCAGGACTCGGTTTGTGTAAGGCTTAGCTTGTTTAACAAAAGGCCTCTGGGTAAAGAGTCGAAAGCGGATGTGTAACAAAGGAACGTACAACGGACATACTTGGCCCCTTTGTCTAAGGAGAATACAATGTTTTCATGAAACACAGAAGCAGCGTATAAAGCACTTCTACCCTGTTTGTAAGCAAACTGCTTTGGATCATTTGAGAAGCTTAGGGAGGGAACAAGTTTTTGTAACAATAATTTCTCAATTAGCTTC